CTCCAGGGAGCATCGATGTTCTCATTGGAGCGGACATTTGGGGTATGATTCTCCTGGGGGAAACAATCACTGGTGGGTCTAAAGAGCCGTGCGCCCTGTCCACCCGTCTGGGGTGGGTCATTTGCGGAACTGCGTTCCCATGCTGTACGTCGCTTCCAACTTTACGCGCGTTACCGAAATTCGCCGCTGAAGAGGAGCGACTAGATGAGATACTGCAACGCTTCTGGGAGCTGGAGGAGGTTGGCCGACCCCCAGTTGTTGACGACCTTAGCGAAGAGATTTTCTGTAAAACGGTATCGCGCAAGAGCGATGGCCGATACATAGTACAAATCCCATTTTCACCGAATGCATCAGCTCTTGGCAATTCATATGTCAAGGCATTATGGCTTGCAGTCCTTTCAACGCGGCACGCGTCTTGCAGCAGTGTGCCAATGAAAACCAATCAGCGGTTCCTGATGAGGCTCGAGCGGCAAAGGCCCGAGATAGTTTTCTGCGTAATTTCTATATGGATGACCTTCTTGATAGCATGGATACTCCATCGGAAGCTGCCACCTTAGCTAGAGACATCACAACGATATTGCAACATGGTCGGTTTAGACTTTGCAAGTAGAACCCGAACGCGGCAGATGTTCTTTTCACATGTGGCTTAGGGTCGTCAAGTTCAGACCTAAATTTAGGGGCCACTGATGCGAAAGTGTTGGTTCTGCACTGGGCTCCGATTACTGACGAGCTTTTTTTCCAAGTACGATTAGACGCAATCATCCCGGTTCCTACTAAACGCCAGGTGTTGAGCGAAGTGGCTAAAATCTTTGACCCCTTGGGACCCTTGGCGCCGGTATCAGTGACAGCTAACATATTGATGCAGTTGACATGGTCGGCTAAGATCAATTGGGACACACCTCCACCACCCGAACTCCGCGAGAAATAGCTTAAATTTCGAAGCGCTATACCAGCCGTCGCGGAGCTCCGCATACCTCGTTGGATCGGAATGGCGCAGTCTGCCATTACAACGCTATATGGGTTTTGCGACGCCAGCGAAAGGGCATATGCAGCCGTCATTTATGCTCGAAGTATTGACACTGATGGGACAGTCCGAGTAGGGCTGGTGACTGCGCGAACGAAGGTTAGTCCACTGAAAGCTATAACCATTCCCAGG